TACGACCACTTGGCCAACGAGGCAGTCATGTATTTAAGTACGTTATTATAAGGCAAAATACCCCAACATCAATATTATGTGCGAAAACCAACCGACTTGTGGAAAAAGTCGAGACAAAGAAAGAATTTTTATTATAGAGAGAACATAAAAATTCGTATCACACACCAATGAGCTCAATTTCACATTAGCACATTATATTTCGTGAAATATTTTCTGAAATAACAATAATCATTTCGTTTTGCAAGCCAAGGCTTTTACTAACTTACATGAAATACGTTTTTACTCTAAGGTAAATTGCTAAGTATAGCTCAATGTTATTTTATCAAAATTGTGGATAAAAATGACTGAGTTAAAGTATAAAAATAATACTTATCATAATAATGATTATAGGTACCAATTTCTACGAAAGTTTCGAAAAAAAAAAATAGTTTTAATAATATTTTGTAGTTGTCTTCTAGGTCGGTATTAAATATCCAGCTTTGATGTCTTTTTTTAAGGGGCGAAATTCATCGAATGACTTCTTCCACCTGGATGAGGCTGAGTGGGGGGAAGGGCAGACTCTTATTGGCTAAAAACCACTCTGATCCTACTCCTGTAATAGAGCCGGAGCCCCACACATCAACAGTCTATAAATGCCCACTGCCGAGCAAAGCCTCTTCTCATACGGAGGTTTGAACATTAATCACCACGCATGCTCAATGCGGGTTGGCAATTTCAAACTAATAATTAGAAATTATAAGCTCAGGTTTCCTCACGATGTTTTCCTACACCATTTGTCAGTGGTGTCTAAACAATCCTAGAAAGGACATATAACTCGGAAAACGTCACATTGGTTCATGCCGTTGGTAGGTTTTGAATCCGCACCCTTACGTATGACAAGCTGGCGTCTTTCTGCCACCACGACACGATAAAACAAATACGATACTAAAATACTTAATATACACACGTTATTCTACTGTAATTGAGCATAAATATAATTAATATGAACTATTACTAAATGAATATATATACAACTTAAAATATAAATAACTATGAACTAAAATATTTACACCTTAAAAAAAGTAATAATAATAAAAATGCTGTTTTTTTTAAGCGTAAGCCGGTAAACGAGCAGCCAGATCACCTGATGGTAAGCAATCGGCGTCGCCCATGGACACCTGGAACACCAAAGGCGTTACAAGTGCGTTACCGGCCTTTTGGGGATTAGGAGTTTGAGGATCGTTGAGGATTCAGGAATTGGGGAGATTGGGGAAAGGGTTATATAGGTATATGCTATCTTAAGGTATCAAAAAAAAAATAATTAAATATACACATATGAATGATACACTCATGAAATCGCAAATAAGTGGCTCAAATCACATAATAACAAAACATAGGTACTTGTACGTAATATTCGCGTATCAATCAAAGCGCAGGTAGGTACTAACGTGACAACGTGTTGCTGATGCCGTGACGAGACAGGTACGTGACAACAAACATGATAACTTGACACGCTGCCTTAGCACGTGCGGAATGAGGAAGTTGTGATTTAGATTTATGTAGGTTGGTAATATATGTATGTAAATATATATGTTTCAAATGGGACGTTATAAGAGATGACACATGGCCTTTTAATCTCTGTAAGGATATATTATATAATATACAAAGGCATATATAATGTTATACCTACTTTCTACCAGTGTTATTACCAGTGCTATGTAACCACCAAGAATCAGACCCGTGCAAGCTATAAGAACACCACAGTCGGGGCCTAGGAGGGCTGATGCCCGATACCGAACCGTGGAAAACTTAACGGATTGCCGGGGTTCCAGCTCGAAGAGCAGTATTAGGAACGGGGTAGTTTTTAGTCAGTAAGAGACACTCCCTCTCGCCTAACCCGAGGCAGAAGGCATTGGATGATTATCCGACCTCAAAAAAAAGGTATATAGCCATTTCTGGTAAGCCGTACCTACTTCCGAAGTCCCAACCATTCAAAGCAATCATCACTAAATGTTAAACATGTTCAATAATAATCTCATACTCTGAACTCTTGTGAACTAAAATATTAATACACTACTGCCTAACTTCAGTTTGGATATTAGATTCTACATTATAACTTATAAGCAATAGGTGTCGATATCATACACAACTAATTAACTTCAAGGCGTATTATTAGTGGCTCGATAACATACAGTCTATGTGTTATAGATTATATTTAATGTTCATATTATAGAGATTGTCGATAGATATGTCACATAACTCTAGTTTGATAATAATTGGAACTTGTTTAATGCATGTATTAGGAAGATATAGTCTAGATTATTCTAAAAGTCGATTGTACCTAGATAATCCGTGCTTCAGTTAACTTAAAGTAATTTCTCCTCTACAATCTTTGCATGTTGTAACGAAGTTATCTTAAGATATTCAAGATCTAATCTGATGTGCATTGCCCTTTACAGCTATGCTTAAACTAGAGGTTGGTTCACCACAAAAGTTTAGAGTGTAGTAGCTTGTCTTGTAAAACAGTTTTGTAAAAATTTCAAGGGAAATTAAAACTACCTCTACATAATAAATAACTGTAGGGTTGGAGCAGTCAAGAAAATGCAGTCGTAAATCAATGTCTTTTATTTTTCCAAAATTACACAAAGCACAGATTACGCACCATCGGATCAAACGCTACACTGTCCTTTGTTTATTTTTTCCTTTTCCAAAATCCCCCACATCTTTTATCCCTTTCACACACATATTCTCTCTCTCACATTTCTATATAACTTTATCACTTGTAAAAGAAATTAATTAAAAAACATGCCCTCCTAAAAACTGTCTACCAAAAACGATAAAAATCACTGACAAGACCTAACTCGCTCGAGGCGCCATCTGGCAATAAACATTTTTAAAATACGAACTGCTGTTCTGCAAGCAACCGTTGACCTTAACCAATCAATAGTTCATTATTTATTTCACAGTGGTGCAGTGCAGTACAAAAGTTCGCTCAAAGTATTAACATTAAGAATACAATGCGCTTGAACGAAACGATTTTCAATTTGACGCTATTATAAAATGTAAATTTTCTTGTCATTTCCTTTTATCGCCGAGTATTTGCTAATGCAGAAAAGAAATATTTCTGTAGAAATATTAGAGTTTACGGAATAATTTATAGATTTTTTACAGGTGTATTAAAAACTCCGGGCCATATACGAAATGCATTCATAGTAGGTAAAAGGCATTTTAAATCCACTTCAAAAAAATAAGGATATTCTCAATTCGACTTGTATGTATGTATGTACATTTATCCGCGATTATCTTACGATTTTGATGCGCTTTTACAAAACATGTTTGTTACACTTAGGAACCGGAGTATATTAAACTACATTATAATACGGACTACAAAAATAGGAGTCAATTTTTTTAATATAGTTTGTTCAGCGCTCTCAATTATTCTTTACAGACTTTAAAGGTCTCAGGTTCGATTCCCGGACCGGGCAAAGTATTACTGGGGTTTTTTTTTTAATTTCAGTAGTAGCACGGAGTCTGGAAATGTGCCCGGTATATGGTAATAGGCTCACCCCCTAATACAAGGGACTCATAACATAAATAATGAAAAGTGGGTGTTACATTGTACAGTGGCATAATGTGCACCTCTGCCTATCCCTTCGGAGATAAAAGGCGTGGTCTAGGTTACTTGCAAAAAAAATAATGATCTAAAAATAAAAAAGGTCTTTTAGCAATCAAAACATCCAATGTGTGTGTCTAATCTAGCATTTAGCATAAACCCCCAAAACGATACGATCAATGATTAAGACTTGACACACTGTAACTGGATAGGTACTTTAATCCCACTTAATATGATTATTCTGGGAGCGGATCACCAGTCCTGCATAAATATTCATACATGTCTTCAAGTTAAACCACAACAAACACCTTAAACAAATTCCTAAGGTGAATGACCGTACATAGTTCAAATCATATACGGATACGAGAGGTTTGTAATATGCCATCAATTTAACTTACTCCATGCTAACAAGTTTCAATTTTCAACTTTATAATGTTGGTTGAAAGTCCAAAGTCCAATGAAAAACATTGAGAGAGGTTCTGTTGGTGCCTGTGCTAACAAAGGCAAGGTGCAAGTAGTATTGAGATGAGATGGAAAGAAAAGGGATAAGTAGGGACAAGGGAGACCTTTGTAGCGTTCAAATGTTCAATCATTTTAACTCTGTGGTGAATTAATAAAGGTAAGAAAGAGATTTCCAAATGTTTCTAAGATACAACCTCAAAGTTGGGTCGAAAGGTTACGTTAAACGTATTTACTACGCCTACTCGCCGTTCTATTATTAGTTTTCGAACCCTCAAAAACTGTGCTAAGTATAGTACGCATGATTAATGAGATAAACGCCCAGCCTGTAATCTAAACAAGACACTTGTTTGCAGTCTACTTGAGTAGTTTGTTACTGGCTAGTGCGACCGACTGAAAACAAGATTTTGTACTCAATCTCCGAATAGACCAAAAGCTATATATAGTTTCTTTTCAATTATTGAAGGTAAGTAGAAATCCATGACATATACAATGAAACACCTAACTATTTTTGAGTGCCGTCTTATTATTTTTTTAAGGGGTGAAAATCATCGAATGACTGCTCCCGCCTGGGTGAGGCGGGAGGGAGTGTGAGACTATTACTGACTAGCTCGCCGTCCGCAGGCCCGTGCTTACGGTGGCCAGAGATCGTCCCGCGATCCCCAACGCCCAAAGTGTCCTTCGCGATGGCTTGAGTGCCGTATAGGTATGTAATTTGTCAACCCGGGAATTGAACATTATAAGGCCAGTAGTCTCGCTTGTTATCATTTCATCGATAAACCAGTCACATAACACTGTTTTGTGCGCAAAAATGTATAAAGGATTCCATTCTTGAAGAATTTCACGTGTATATACTTGTGAATATTTAAGTATCACCGGTACCTACTGCGCACGAAAAGCCAATTGGCCCAAAAAATATAAGTAGGATATTAGCCTTACTTCCACTTACCAAATATCTATAAATAGCGAAGGGCACGTACTCCAGCATGACGAAGACATCAGCCACCGCCAGCCACTTCAGCAGCCTGTTGATGGGAGCAGCAGCCAGGTCTCTTCGTGTCAGTACAGCTACATTCAGCGCATTCGCCAGGCTTCCGAAAAAACATACCTAGGACAAAGTTAAAGAATATTATCATAATTACTCAGATGAAAATGTAAATATCCTCCTGCTAGGGATTGGGTATAATCCCCAAATAGTTAGATTAGGAATCGCAGTAAGGTCCCCGAAACTTGGAAGTACAAATCAAAAATTGTAATCTGGTCGTTGTTTTGCATATTACCGACAGAGGTTGCTGCTGTTCATTTGTTGGTGGTTCAGCTATTCTTGAACGTATGAATTTGGTATATGGCTAAGCCTGAACAGGGTCATCTTTCTATGAAGTCAGAAAAAGAAGGTCTTGTAAACAAATATGCACAAAGCTATATCTCTACTATATCCCTTTTTCTTAAACTGTCGAACACCGCGAGGACACCGGTGACCGCAACCTATTGTTCTTTAATTGTGTCTATAATGACGGTACTCAAAGGGTTAATCCTGTACTACATAATAGTACAGGTTATAATCAAGCCAAGCTCACCAAAAACTTATGATAACTTCAAAACCATATAGATATGAAGTTAGAACTTCAGCACAGAAAAAGTCAAGGATTATGTTGGTTTAAAAAATGTTAGGAAAAAGCCATTAGTTACAGACGTTAAAACTGCATTCTGTAAATTATGGAGGTCGTTTTGATAGGAAAAAGTTGGCACATACTGCTCTGTGCAACCGAATGTGATTTTTGGCACTTTCAAGTGTATTTGTGAAGATAAGTTGGTACTAAAAGGATTACGTGGCTGATATTTAGGGTTAATCTTTAAAAATGAATTGAAGTTTTCTTGGAAAATTATAGAATGTTGTAAAGTAAACCTTTCTACTTTTAATGTACATCAATTTGAAAGTTAATAAATTGGACACGTTACTGGCAGCTTCAGCTCCGTAGCTATAAAACACAAAGGAAAAATAAATAACTAAAGAAAATAAAGAAATATCTTAAATAAGTTGTATGACATGACTACCCTAAATATATTATATAGGTACTTATAGCAAAATTGATTTAACTTAGGCTGATTGGAATTATTCGACAAAAAGATGGAAGTCCCATTGACATACTTCGTTCAAAAGGCATTGTACCTACTTTAGGGTAAAGGGAATATTCATAAAGAAATTGACATCATTTTTTGGACCTTCTATATACCTCTACAAATGCTTAGTTATATTTACGTATCAGAGCAGCTTAAATAGATAAATAGGTTTAATATAAAGGGTTCAAAGGATATTTTTTATTAAAGTATAGATTGAAAAATATATTAAGGTATATTTTAGTGTCACCATGTCAATGGTATTAGAATAAGCAAGACGAAGACAATGGCTATCGTTGCCCTTAATGAGAGATCATTACTTCGACATATATCTCGCACGTGACGTCTCTTTTTGGGTTTTATTTCTGTGTCAACATGTCGATTTTACTCAATACTGTGATTCGTTGTGTGTATGCGGATACATCGATGTTCTAGGCTTGCATAGGCAGATTATTTCTATTTAGGGCTCGTCGTACAAAAGGAAGCTCTATTCTTTGAAAATAGATACCTATCTAGAGATTTATGGGTCCGTTTTAATCAAGAAAACAGTAGGAGGGTAAGGTTGTTCTAAACTGCCCCATAGTTTTAAGTCAGTCTATATGTATTATGTTTTCATTATTAATTAGGATAGGCAGAATTTGTGTGCTTCGACAAAGACAATTCGAGTGTTTCATTATGTGTATTCGTTTTAGCGGAGTCGTTTTTTTTATAGCATAAGTCGGTAAACGAGCAGACGGATCACCTGATGATAAGCAATCGGCAACGCCCATCGACACTCGAAACACCAAAGCGTTTCAAGTGCGTTACCCACCTTTTGGAAATTGGGAATTTGAGGATTGTGGAGGATTCAGGGATTCGGGACTAGGGAGGGGGATAATTGGGCCTCCGGTAACCTCACTCACACGACGAAACACAACGCAAGCGTTGCTTCACGTCGGTTTTCTGTGAGGCCGTGGTATCACGTGGTATCCGGTCGAGCCGGCACATTCGTGCCGAAGCATGGCTCGGCACACTTAGTCTGTAAGAATTATTCCAGAAATAGCGAACGTTGACAACAATAATATTTTTCTCTGAAATTATCTCGTTTATATTTTAGCAGTTTTTGAAAGTAAACATTTTCGTTTTGTTTGAAAAACAAACATTAATAATTGGCAACTGCCGTTGGCCTGTACCAGGTTGTCATAAAACTATAGGTGGTTTGGTAATCATTTAATCGACTTTGACTCAATCGTTTTGGAGTAAAGCCAATTTTGATTTCTCCGTTGTTTACAGGAAACATCAATAGTCTAGGTTTTTATGAATGAGTAGAGTTTGAGGAAAATTGTTCCATGAAAATATAATAAAAATATTTTTAGATACCTACTAGGATTTTCGGTGCTACTTATCTCGACAAAATTTTCAAGACAATTTTCGACTCATAAATTAAACTAGATATAAAAATACTAAATGAAACCTAACTCAGACAATTTAGTTCATAAAATCTGACAAAGACGCGATGAGATTATAAGATAAGGTTCGTTACTTCTTAGAATATACACTATAAATAGAATTCAATCATTGATACATCTTACAATTCCTTAGACTTTTGATGTGGTCGCTAATACCTAGTACCTGTAGAACGATTAGGTAAAGCTCTATTATTCGTTGATTAAAACCCTTTTGAAAACTAGGATTATCTAAGTAATTAATTATTGGGGATTCCGAACAATGTTTGAGATTTAAAGAAAGGTTTGACTTGACTATGACAGTTTTATTTAATAAAAAAATAAAAACTGCGTTTATAAAAATGACTTCAAAAAACCAAAAACTAATAACAAACCAAAGATAAAAACTAAAAAGCAAGAAATAGTACTGATAGGTTACCTACTCCATCCAGTGATAGGTTAGAAGTCGGCGCCATAATTTCTATTCAAAATTATTCATTAAAACCTTAATAGATACCTGAATTACAATTTTGTGGCTATGATTTTTTTTTAAATATACGTTGTTGATTGATTTTCTCCTGTGTCGTGGGTGCGTTTACAAACATATAAGTTCACATACACATGACACCCAGACCCAGAACAACAATCTGTGGATCACACAAAGTGTTGTTCCGCGCGGGAATCGAACCCGCGACCCGCTACGCGGCAGCCAGTTGCCCAGCCACCGTGCAGTCAATACAGTTATATCATTGTGATATGAATATATTAAATACAAACATTATACAGAATAACTTATACCTTGTCAGCATGCTCTCGTCTCGTCCATTTTCTCATCTGCTACGAATAGATTCTAATAAGAATAGTTCAGTAGCAAGTTTTCAAATATATAAAGTAAAACCTGACAGTTAACACTTTCTACAAGACAAATTCAATGTTGAATGTTTCAACTCAAAAATAGATTGTGTCTGGACTTTAATATTTATACGAGTTTGTTGCAGTGCTCTTTCTCAGAATAGTTTACGTGCAAATATTGATCACGTTTGGGTGCAACACGTACAAGAATTATTAGTTGCAGTTGTTTTAAGTATATTAAATGTTTTATAGTATTTGCGAAAAAGAATCTCCCTGACTCTTAAACACATTTCAAAGAAAACAAAAATATTTCCTCACTGATAATCGACGTGAAACAACACTTGCGTTGTCTTTAGTCGTGTGAGTGAGGTTACCAGAGGCCCAATTACCCCCTTTGCTCTTCTCCCCAATCCCAGAATCCCCAACAATCCTCAAACGCACTTTAACGCCTCTGGTGTTCCGGGTGACGTCGATTGCATACCATCAGGTGATTCGTTTGCTCGTTTACCGGTTTATTCCATAAACAAAAACATTTACAAATTTGATCAAGTTAGTAATGGCTTCAACAAAGCCAAGGTTATTGATAATAATTGACTAAACACAGCCTAGTACAGGGCTGTCCAAACTGCGGCCCGCACCTTTTTTCCATGTGGCCCGCGACACACATTTTAATCTCAACATCTACATCTTATATGCTACAAAAAAAATAAAAGTCAGTGTATGATTTGTATACAAGTTTAGTCTGTGAGTAAAGAATATAATGTTAAACGTCATTATGCAACTGAATCCTGAAACCTGATCTAGTAGTTATATAACTCTTTATGAGACTATAATTTCATTATCATTTAGATGTGTTATTTTTAATGAGGATAAACAGTTTAAACTTTAGAAATATAGTTTTATTCAGACCAATACATAAAACAAAATCACTCGAAGACACGTAACCGGAATCATAGACAACAATAGAAAGGTAGTATCTATGAACTAAGGTTCTATCATATACAAACTATTTAGTCAATAAACTAGGGTTCAATTTACTAATTTCTACACTCTCACCAAATTTGAACCCTTTCACTTGAGATTCAAAATACAACCAACTTAACAAATTCTAATCATAATTAATGTTAAGTTTTTACATAGTACTAACAAACAATTGTAATTTCTTAACACCAATTTTATTCCTAAGATATTGATATTTATCTCTAGGCAGAGCCTTAGTAAAGATGTCAGCATATTGTTCCTTAGTACAAACATATTTTAAATCTATTTGTTTTTCATTATACTTTTCTTTAATGAAATTGTACTTCACATCAATGTGCTTAAAACGCTTGTGATTGTCTACATTTTTAATTAAACAGATTGCACTTTGATTGTCAATATTTAAATATATAGAATCCTGGTTAAATTCACCAATATCTAATAATATTCTTTTTAACCACAAAGCTTCTTTTGTTGCAGAACAAGCAGCCATAAATTCCGCTTCAGTTGTGGATAAAGCAACACTGTGCTGAAGTTGTGTTGCCCATGTTATGGCAGCTCCATTTTTAATGAACACATACCCAGTTAATGACTTTCTAGTGGTAGTGTCTTTAGCATAATCTGCATCACTGAAAGCTTCAATTTTATTGTGCTGAGATGATGAATAACACAGACCATAGTCTTTGGTTTCCTTTAAATATTTCATTATCTTCTTGACAACATTCCAATGAGTGTG